ACTGGAGGACAATATTTATTTTCGTTTCGTCTTACTCTTCACCCTCTCCTATGGGCACTATACGCCCAACAATAATGAACGCGTCGCTGTTGAATAAAGTCCTAATAATAAGGGCTCGGCTAACTAAACAGCGGGTGAGTTTTTTTTCCAATTTTATCGTTCCGCACACACTAGGCGAGGACCATAAGTTTCTTCATGAACGTGTTGCCGATGCATTTGCGCTGCATTTCTGTTAATGAAATTATCCATGGGGCGGTGACGACGATATAAACAACCAAGTGACTTCATCCGATTAACACGGTCTTTTATGTGGACGTATAATTTGATTCCGTTATTGAATTATTGTTACAAGTACAGTAGATGCACTTGTTTGGAAGGAATGGCATGGGGCCAAAGACGGACACCTCGTATTTCAGACAATACCAACACACATAATTAAACACGCTTGGGAATAACTTGTACATTTTTTATCACATAACGTTGGAAGGTAAAATGTAAATGAATAAAAAGCCCATTAAGGACACGGCCACAAATTTACTTTAATATTTAAGGGGGGCGTGAATCAAGTAAAATAAATAAAATATTAAAAACAAGTTATATTTTGTAATGTACTCCTAAGTTTTAAACCATACATACAAATTTAAAACCGTTATAATTAAAAAAAAATTATTTTTTTTTTTAACTGAAAATATCAAACGTTTTTTACAGTTTTAAAAATAATTTGCTCTAATCTAATGCACCTCGAATTAAATAATATCTCTAAACTTGTCATAAGTACTACCATACAACCATCTTTTAAGTATAATCAATTCCAAAAGTAAGATTTCCAAATTAGTTTTTACAATTTAAAATTTAAATACTGACTTTTTGACTTTAACAAAAAAACATTATATGAAACAACCTTTCCTCGACATCGTTCGATAAGCAAAATCAAATATTTACTTTTTCAAAAAATAATGAAACTGTTGTTTCTGCCGCTTCTGATTAAGGGTTGGCTGCGATGGCACTAACTAAATTAAGGAACTAATTAACTACTAATTAGCACACATTACATTGATGGGAATAAAACAATTTATATACTATAGACTATACAAAGCTATTCGTTAAAGAAACACACTCGCATACTTGAAAACGATTGAAAATTTTAAGTTTTCGCGAAGGAAAGTATTGTTTGATTAAAAAAAAACTCTAAATTAATTTTTTATCCCTTCGACGATAGAACCTTTAATAGGAATCCCTATTTTTAGTTCGATGATTTGATAGAAATAAAATGTCAAACAATTTCATTCTTCGAACTCTTTTTATCCGACAAACTAAAGCTCTGTTATTTTTGGTTCTAGTTTAGCGAATTTTAATCAATTTTCTATTGATAATTTGCTGTTTAGCAATACTTTCCATTCAAAAAAATCCACAAAACCACTGCAACTTCGATGTTTTTATCCAAATCGCACATTATTTTAGTCGCTAGGTCCTTGAAATGTTTGATGTTTTCTCAACTTACGTATAAATGTCGCCTGGCTGTCATGGAAAATTGGTCTTTCAGAAATCGCATAGTTACATAAATACTATTTACGGCGTTTGACCGTAAAAGTCTCTGGATACAATTGTATTATTATGACATATCATTCCGTCCAGTTCGGCTCTTTTGTCGGCTCGAGGGGTCAAAACGCCGACAAAGAATTACTACTCATTGCGTAGCTGTGATCCGTGTGTAATGTGTTTAAATGTTACCAAAAAACGAATTTCCGGTGTTCCGGCAATACAAGCGCTTCCTTTTGTAAAAGCATACCGACTGTAGACCTAAGCGTTATCTTATCGCGGTCGATGTATTAGTACTACTTGTATGCACGTAGTGTTTGAAGAAAATATCAGCACATTATCGATCCTATAAATCGGTCGATTGAACAGTGTTTTTGCACTTGTGGCATCTAATACGATCTGACGCAACGTGAAGGTACGTACGTCTACACATTCACGCGGACAATGAAGATTTTTTATTTCGACAATATAATACCAAATTATTTTACAACGAAGGCATAATGACTAAAAAGACTTATAAAAAAACTCCGCGGCCAACGCACTTGTACGCATGTAGGCAGCCATACTAAAAGAGCCCCGAACGCAGTAAACTCAATGAACCGATATGCCTATTATCCCTTTAATCCGAACAAACCCTCTCCGGATCTCTCTTGTTGTTATTCAGTAGCCTGTTCATAACAATGGACCTAAACTAGCTGTCGGTTTATTACACGAATGAGATCTCTACACATACATGAGTTCATAATCCTGTACATGTATGTTTAACGAACCTACTTAGCCAGTGACTATGGATGATCATGAACTGTTCTAGTTTATCTTATGGTTGTTCATTATTTGGGAGTTATATTTAGTTCGTCGCATTCAATTCGGACTATTATCCAGGGATTAGAAGAATCTTTAAGAACCGGTTCAAAACCGTTTCCGACGAAGAAAATAAAGAACCGAGAACCTAATTGGAACCTTAAATTATTTGTTTTATAAAACCATTTAAAGCACTGGAACCCTACCAAAAACCGGTTGTTTTAAAGGTCTTAAAATCAATTATATCCCATATAGTCTAATTGACTCACCCGTTACCGTGCTAAAATATTAATCATTTTATTATAACGATATTTGGCGAAAGAAATCATAATAGTATACATAATTAATCGTTTTATGGTGTAATCACAATATATGAAAAAGTTATGAGTAATCAAATATTATACAATGATATTGTCATATTCGTGAATTGGGGTAGTGATATAACAATAGAATATTCTTGACAGAATGTTGTTGGAACGGGAATATTTTTAAGAAAATTCTTCACTAGATTATTACTGGACATTATAGCACTAAATAAAAAAATAAAACTAAATAATATCTTTAAAAATATTTAAGCAAAATTTTTTGAAAATTTACAATGGAAAAATAATCAACTTTTATTTGGTATATCAAATCGTATAAAAAAAAAATATCAAAAATTCTGTAAAAGTTTATTGTTGCATGTCCTAACTTAAAGTTTTGGTTGTGCATTAGTAATTAAAAAACTATTTATTTAAAATTTTTTAATATAACAAACACTTTTACGTGTGTACTCGTAGTGAGTAGTCGTACAGTACAACAGCGACCAGCCTTATCTATATCATTAAGCTTATCGCCAACTGTGCCGATTGAAAAAATTCAAGTAATATGATTATTTTTATCTACATTACCTACCCACCGTTATAAACTTCATCAAACTAACAACAAAAACCCGTCCGACCACTGAACTATGAGTTCGGCCAGCGGATCATCATTACCTTCACGTTCACAATCGATTAATTCTTCTTACATTAATAACTCCAACAAAACGATAACACCGATCAAGATTATTAAAAACTCATCTAACGACGACTCTGTATGGAAAACTGTTCCTATTAGCTCGCCATGCCATTTCCCAAAATCAAAAATACAAAAAACAAATTTCTTCTCAAATCCAAACCGTTACTCAGCTCTTACCATAAATAACCACCCAGAGGAAAATGATAATGATATTGAAATGAAAACACAAGATAACCCAAAAGAAGTAAACAAAATTCCACCCATTTACATAAAAAGCACAATTGACTTCTTTGATTTTTGTAAAAAAATAAAACCTCTCACTGAACCTGAAGGATTTACAACAAAAAGCACATCTAACAGTATCAAATTATTGACATACACTCTCAATGCGTATAGACAAGTTGTAAAACTATTAGAAATAAATAATATAATTTACCACACTTTTCAACTTAGCGACGACAAAGCTTTCAGAGTAGTTATTCGACACCTTCACCATACTACACCAATTAATTTCATCAAAGATGAGCTTCAAGCTCTTGGTTTCTCTGTTCGGTCAATTACAAACTGCCTGCAGTATAAAATCAAAAATCCACTCCCCATATTTTTTATTGATTTAGAACCATCTCCAACAAATCAAAGTATTTACAAAATCGACTCAATTTGCTACACTAAAATAAAAGTTGAAGCACCCCACCTAAAAAAAAGTCCAGTCCAATGTCTAAGATGCCAAAATTTACACAGCTGATATACCTACATCTACCTTCACAATCTTAAATACTTTTGCTGACGATACAAGCATATTAGCATCTGACGCTGATCCCTTAATAACAAATTTCAAACTCCAACACTACCTCAATATTTTAGAAAAATGGNCCAACACCACCTCAATATTTTAGAAAAATGGTTTACTGAATGGAAAATTAAAGTAAATACAACCAAATCAAACCACATCACCTTTTCTCTTCGACCAGACATCTGTCCACCAGTCAAACTCTACAACACTTTATTCCCCCAAAATAATAAAGTAAAATACTTAGGCCTCATTTTTGACAAACAACTAACTTGGAGAGACCATATAACTGAAAAAAGAAAACAATTAAACACCCGACTCCATCTACTTCGCCCTCTCTTACGTTCCAAACTTAATCTAAAACTAAAAACACTCATCTATAAAACTCTTCTCTTCCCACTATGGTTTTTTGGTATTCAAATCTGGGGCTGTGCCGCTCCATCCAACATCCAAAAAATCCAATCCTTTCAATCCATTTGCCTACGAACACTCACCAATTTCCCTTGGTACGTCCCTAATAAAACTCTCCATTCAGATTTTCAAATTAGTTATGTTAACAATATTGCCAAAACTGCTTACCTAAAACTTCACAACAAATTAAACTCTCACCCAAACCCTAATATTCAATACCTCTACTCAAAGCACATCCCCGACAATCCGCCAAGAAGATTAAAAAGAAAATGGTGTAGAGACCTCCTATAGAAAAAAAAAACAAAACTCAAAGTAGGTAGTTCCATTGGGTGCCCCCCTACTGCATGTTATTCAAGTCATATTGTAATTTTTTTTTTTCATTACTGTTAATCCATGTACGGTTGTGCATATATTTTGTATAGATGTAAATTTATAAAGTTATTTGAATAAAAAAAAAAAAATATATAACAAATGTCTATTTGATGAATGTCTATACATTGAAAATTTGTTTTATGTTATCCAAAAGTAAATTTATTTTCTTTCCACACATAAATATGAAAGTATAATATCAGCAAAAACTAGAAGTATAACTAATCTCTGTAACTGGTCTATCACAATTTTGTAAGCCAACACAATTCCATGTTCATCATTGAAATTATTAACTGCAATATGTTTTTTCTGAAAATATTAAATGAATATTCATGAAACTTAAATACTTCAACTATAAATAACTCACAACTGAGTATTTTTTAATCAATTTTTAAATAGACAGGCTACATTCTAAAATTATTGTGAGTAATTTTTATCTATTGTAATATCTGTAAATCTTATTGAATACTCTCATTTGGTTATTACAGTTTCAAGGCAAAAATATTAGTTAGAAAATATTTCACTACTTTCTACTATTTTAATACTTTGGATGTCACTTCTCTATTAAGTGGTTCCAATGTTACATTAAAAAAGATTTGAACAAAAAAAAAAAGTATCAAAAATAATACAGAGTGATCCCTTTATCATAAACCACTCAATTACTTACAAAATATAAATAACATATTGTTTTTGAATTATAAATTATTTAATACATTTTAAGTTAATGTTTTGTTATGTTGTTAATTATTTTTTTTCAAATGGGAGCATATATTTCACAATTAATAAAATGTATGAGGATTTTTTGTTCAATAGTAAATGGTATTTAATTGCAATATTATGCCTTAGAACTACTTTGATATTATCACTCAATAAAGCCATAATTGGCAATGACCACAATATATCTGTGAATAGCAGCATTTTAAAAAAATACAATTAGGTACCTGTAATTGTAACTCCTTAGATACAAAACATGTATTTCAACTCCAAAAATCGACACTTTAAATTTTTATAACTGATACCTGAATTAAATTAAATAAAAAATTCCACTAAAACGCTAACATCTTTACAAGGTATAAGGGATAAACTTAAAAAGTACTACATAACTCATAATTCTAGAACAACATGTAACTAATAGTAACAAAAAAATAATTTTTAAGATCATTTCTACTCTACAAGTAATTGAATGGTTTACGATAAAGAAATCATACTGTATATAAAAAAAATTTGCTGCCCTCCAAAAATAAATTTTTAAGTACAAAGATCATGTAGAGTATGGAGAATAATAATTGATTTTTTTACAAACTAATATTTTAATAATTAAGTTTTTGAAGTTTCATTATATTATACAATACACAATATAATTTTATACAATTATTGTGCAATATAATTTTCTACTACTTATAAGTTTTAGTCTATTAGTAGAAAATTAGAGATATAAATATTTTTCAAATAAAAAAATTATCTAATCTATAAAACTTAAGTGTTTATTTTATTAATTATTACTTGGCATTTTATCAATAATAAATTACTTTGAGTTAATTTAAACTATTTTTTATTTTTTTACTAAAGTTCTAATATGTGATTAAAACTTTTTAATTAACTATTCTATAGTTAAAATAACTTACATTTTAAACTTACATCTCATAAAATTGTTTTTAGTGCTCTTTATTTTTTTTTAACTTGTACCACTTTTCTATTATTTAACTATTTTTCTTCTCGTTGTGTAAACCAACTAATAGATTTTATTTTTATTTTTATCTAAAATTGAAGATTGTATTAATGATTGAAGTTATTATGAAGTCATATTTAAATGAAGTTCATATTTAAATGAAATTACAAGGGTTGGTATGAATGAGTTAATAAGTTTAAGTCAAGTTAAACATTTTGCATAACTGAGATATTTAGATTTTACATTAATTTATTAAAAAAATTATGGATTAATTTAACCAACCTTGTAAAATTATAAGTTAAATATAAATACAGGTATACCTAAAATTTTTTTGATATTAAAGAATTTATTTTCCATCTACATTATTTTCTACACTTTTTTTCAAATTCTGATATTTTTTAATGCGGAAAGCTGCACATAGTTTTTTACACCAAAGGCATCTCTTTATACTTAATTTATGTAAGACAAAATTACATTTCTTATGTCTCCAAATATTATTATTGATCTTTACACCATACTTAATGTCAATACCTAAAAATCATTTATAGTTTTATATTAATAAATAAAGTATGTATAATTATAGTTATTTTTTTATAAAATGATTATTTTTTCATTTTTAAAATCAATAAGTACTTACTTATACTTTACAAATTAGTAAACAGGCATTTTATGGCCCACCAAGAAAAAAAATGTTGATGGCTCTCTGTATACGAACAAGAAACCTCAATGCATAACACAGCTAATATTATATGAAGGAATATAATCATATCTTCAGATGTAATTCCAACTTGGAACACAAAATTAAAACAGACTGGGTCATAATATGAAAAAATCTGAGAGATAATAAGTTATGGGAAATCATAGACAACAGTTATGTTTTTAAAAATCATTGTAGAAAAAACAATGTATTATTAACTTGCCTCAGAAGTGACCATAAAAGATCATCCATTAATACTTTAAGAAAAAAAACAAAAGAATTTTTACTATATTCCTTATGTAATACAACTATCACAATAAAACACCTCCTATAAGAATACAGACAATGTACAGAAACTATGGAGGGTCTTCAATTATCATACCATATAATAGAGCCAAAGTAATTCAAACCATATAGAAATAGAAAAAAAAATTAAATGTATAAAATTTAGAAATTGTATAACCTAATTAAAACCATGAATGTAAATAAAAAGGAATATATCAATATCAAGGCTATTTCATAAAGAAATTATACATTTTTTTTTAAATCGGGATATACATCTTCTGATATTAAAAAATAATTTAAAGAGAGAACTCTAATTATTTAAAAACATTAATACAAATTAAATGTACAACTCAAAAAAATGTTATTATGATAAATTAGTGTCCAAAGAGTCACATTCTTAGAATAAAAATTACCCAATATATACCTGTTAATAAATAAATCCTTTTGATATATTATTTCCATTAATATAATAAAGAAATTATTTCAAAATTTAATAATGTATAATATTAAGTTTTTATTGAATAATTATAAAAATGATTTTATTAAATAAAAATAATAATAACACACCTGGATAGTTCAATACATTAGGACCTCCAATGCATATATTTTTACTGTCTATACACAAAATTAATTTATTCACTTCTTGATATGAAAATGAAGATATTTTTGGCACTAATAAATCCTCTTCAGTAAATATTTTATCTAATATGTGAATTCTTATTGTCTTATCACTAGTTATAACAATTTGTTTCCTAATAATGGCTTTTATAAAACTAGTAGTTTTATCATGTTGTATATTAATAAATGTCAAAGCATCAGCATCTCTAAATGAGTGCCAACCATTCGGTAATTTTACATTATTTTGAATACTTTTTAAATTGAAATAACATTGACTTGATTCATTTAAAACCTACAAAAAAAAAAACCTAATATACATAAATTTAATATTTGTTGATTTCTTATAATATTAATAAATACTAGTAGTAGAATAAGGATTAATATAAAAATATTAGACAAATAATTTTGTAAAATTTGATATTCCACAATATTTTTTTGCACCCGATTTTACACATTTTATACTATGGAGTATAGGTAGAATAAATTATATTCAATTGCAGATCAGTCTTAATCGTACAGGAATTCATGATCTAAATTTTATAATACAACTTTACACAAAAGATATTTCAAATTAAATGGATTAAAACGTAATATTAGGCTTTGTCAAATTAAAAACATTTTTTTAGAGTCCAAAATCAAACTAATTTATAGCTAATCTTGATATTTGTCAGTACCACAGGAACTATTTTTTGTTTTGAGGAAAAGTGATTCTCTCACATCACACCAAAACTAAAGTGTTAATTAATATATTTTGTTTAGGATGAAAAAAACAAACAAAAATATCATTAGTGTACTCAGGATGGCTGAAATAATTTTTATAAATCAAGTCCCAAACTCTACTCATAATCAAGAGCCTAGATGACAAAAAAAACATATGCACATCTGTATTTCAGGTATCAGTAGTTGATTACTTAAGGTCATTTAAATTCTCAAAATAACTGATAAATCATATCTACTCTTATTAGCATATTATTTGAAACTAGCCAAACCAAATTAAAAACCCAACCATATTTGGTTATTCTATGTTGAATTCTTTTTTTATATATGTTCTCCATTACTACTAGACCTATTTTGTCCAAGATTACTTCAAAAATCTTAAAATGTATCTAGTTCAATTATACAGCTAAGAAAACTATTTAAGGACCTCATTACCAAAAATAATTATAAGCCAAAATAATAAAATCTATGATGAGATTATAATAAGAACTAATTAAATCCAATAGAAGACCATATGTTTTTGAAATAAAATTAGACGTTAATTATATTTTAAACAGGTAAATGATAAGTTATTGAAATCACTTTCAAAACAAAATAAAAGCTATATATTTCCATACAACTTTTTTATTATAATATTGATTTGAATTATTTACATAATTGGTTTTGGAAAAAAGTCCTAATTTTTTTGTTTGTAGATAATTTTTGATAGAATGGCCAAAAAGGATACATTTTATTAATTCCCTAACTTGAAATTTTATCTGGTCCCATTACTACTCTAGAAATAATTAATACAGAAAAACATGTAACCAATTACCTGTGAAGCTTCAACTTCATTCTTAAAAAAAATTTGAGGAATTGCACCTTTTTTTAATCTAGGCCTCAATGGTTGAGGAAAATCTTTAATATCTGAAAATTGATCTGTTTCTATGTATGAATTAATTAAATCTTGAGAAAGAAAATGTTTTTCACAAACAAACTTAACTTGTGTGGTAGATCCATTAACTTTTTCAATAATATTTGTCCAAGAAGAAAGAGAAGCTTTAGGTACACTAAAAAAAGTGCACAGACCATCAAAGCTTTTACAATTTCTAACACTACACTTCCTAGACATACTAGAGAACAATTTTGAAAATATCACTGATACAAATAAGAAATTACTCTCTATTGTCACTAAAATTTATGAATATTGATAAAGGATGATAACAAGTAGAAAGGGGTAGTTTAAATATTAACGTCTAACCACATATTTGTATGCGCTATCTATGTAATCATTTTTTTAAATATAGATAACACCATGTTTACTACTTCCTTTAATATTATTTATCACCGAGTTTTACTAATAAGTTAATTATTAATATCAAGTCTGACGTATCTGATGATGATGTTGATTAGTTATTCATAATTGTATGAAGTACATTGAGAGTATATTATATATTTTTCAAATAAAAAATAAGTAAATGATTAAATAAATATAAAAAATAAATAAATGATTACAAGTTTTTTATAATCGAAAAGTAATAGTTGAATGAGAAAGTAACTTAGGATATAGAATTGTCTCTTAAACTCGCATATAACCATGGATAATACATATTTGTAAGTAATCTATCAGATTATACCTAAACTGCAATTGTATTCTTTAAAATAATTCATTATATATATATGTTTTGATTAAAATGATTTTTTATGCATTTTCGTAATCATGATTATTTAATTCATTAACTTTTGAAACGTCTTCTAAGTGCAATTGGTTTATGTATTAATCCTTCAGGTTTTCTACTTAAAATGTATACTTACCATCAAAGCTGTTTGAATTAAATTAAATTATAATTCAAAGCATGATCATCATGTTTTAACAAAGTGATTTGAATCACTGAATTCACATTTTTTGTTATACATGAATTTTATTATTAAAACCAATAAACACCAATACAATAAAATTTACATTTGAAAAAACTAGTAATCCTCTTATTATGGTATCAGTTTTAAGTGTTACCTATAATATTACTAGATAAAAATTGATACTTGGCAACTAATAATAATATACACAAAAGTTAAAATCTAATGCTTTTATTGATTTAACTAACTCAAATTTTTATTTATTGTTTACTTTTTTTGTTTTAAATAGAAATAATTCTACAAAATCAAATCCGCTATTACAAAATATTCAGATTAATCCTAGTGCAGGAAGGGTTGCACCACCATTACCTAGATCTAATGTACAAGTATCTACAACATTATCTACTCCCAGTACTACAACTACAAATGCACCACAAATAAATTATCGTAATGTTGCAATGCCTATGTCATACATGCCATCAACAGTTGGAGCTACTTATAATAATCCTTATGGTGGTTATCCATATAGTAGATCATTTATGAATATGAATGGCTTTAATCCATACAGTTCATTTGGTCAATCAATGCCAAATCAATATCAAAATCCGTAAGTATCTCTCTTTATATATAGGGACAGTATATCCAAGTCAGTAATGAAATAGTGACTGTTGCACACTATCTAAAGTTTGAGACTTGGTAATAAGTGGCTTGGTTTTTTCAATGAATATGTTTTGTACAATATTTTAGTGTTATTATTGCTGCTGCTGAAAATTCGCGACCTGCATTTGAATCTATACAATCTGTTGTTCAATCGTTTAATGCTGTAAGCATGATGTTAGAATCAACTTTTACAGCAATGCATATGTCTTTTCAAGCATTATTGGGTGTTGCAGAGAACTTTACACGACTAAGGACATTTCTTATGAAATTATACTCTACAATTGTCACATTTAAATTAGCTAGATGGTTTTTAGCCAAACTCATTTATTTATTAAGTAAGAAAATACATTTTGATTCCTTCAATAGTTTATTACATCATTTATATTTTTAGGATTAGTAAAAGGTAATTATAATGGATCAAGCATAGAAGAAGATTTATGGTCTAATTTGTCTACATCTTCAAGAGAAACTACCAATCAAGCTGATGGACGATCATGGCCTTTGATTGTTTTTACAGGGTTATTAGTTGCTACACCATATTTTGTCTACAAATTACTAAACTCAGTTACACCAACTAACATACCTAATTCAGTAAATGGTAAATAGTTTTAATTTATATGTTATAAAATATAAAATAATATTATGCAATGGGCTGTAATGAATTTCGTTAATTTTCAATAACCCAATATTTTTTGTCAATATAAAACTAATATTAAATTAAAATTGCAAATTATGTTAAAAAACACAATTTTTCACATTCAGTAGAAAAAAATATTTATAAATTTTTTAAAAACATAAAGTATATCAGTATATGTATAAAGCTAATGATAATAACATTATTTCCAAAATACACGGCTTTTAAAGTTTAATATTTTTTAATGTAAATTAAAATTTTTAATTTATTTTTAGTTTTATATAAAAATATAGAATTCTGATTTTCAAAAATAACTATTAATTTTTAAATATCTTTATCTGACAGTAATAGATTCACATGTATGACTTTAGTAATATATTTATAAAAATCCAGTAATGTTGAGCTTTTGGTTCTTATTTTTTGGAAAAAAAAAAACAATTCTTTCAATATGCCCGATATTAGATATTAGTTCATACGAATGGTCAATTAAATGTGATATGAGAACGGCCAGAATTTTTGTCAAGTGGGAGTTTAGGATAAGGGTGGCCACCTCAAGTAGTTGGGATTAAGGCAAGGAAAAAGAAGAAGACCAACCAATGATCACTCTAAATATTTATTTACTATTTTATAATTATATATTATATTATATTAATAATCATGTTTAACAATCTCTCTAAAAACTATTGCTTGTGCCAGAAAGGAAGGTACTACCTAAATAGCCATGGAATCAAAAAAATTATATTTTTTGTTTTTTTAGGTAACAATGGAAGGATTGTCATAAAAGCTCCATGTGATTGGAGTAGTAACGACCCTAATACTATTACTTTAGTAAAAGACCAATCCTACTTCACTTCTAATATAAGATTAGAAAATACTTCTAAAAATGGTGGATGGTTGCTCCTTGATAGTTTTAATGGACAAAGAGGATATGCACCCTTCTCACTACTTAAAAGAAATCAAGTAAACAAGTTAAATTATGCAGATATTCCAAATGTACCTCCTGAATTTGCATTACCCTCTATGAATGAACAAATACCTCCTCAAATAATTTCTACTCGAATGGATAACATAAAAAATGATCAAAGTATATTAGATGGGTTAAATAAAAATTAATAATTGTACCTTTAATTATTTTATGTTGTATAATTGTAATTAAAAAATAAAAGGATGTATAGGGGTTTTATTAATTTTGTTTTATTTATATTGTGACTTAAAAAAAAAACTTATTTAATCATTGTAATTTGATATCCAATTGAAATTGGAAGGAATTTGGTTTAATCTGTAATTAATTCTACTATAAATGCTTTAGCGAGTTTTATATAATTTGTATTTTTTATTAAGGCTATGTTGATTATTGTTTAAGGTTGCTATACTGAGAAAATGTTTATTTGTTTCATTAAAGATTTTTATAACTACATACTGAACTTTTAATATTTTGAATTGCTGTCCAAAAATGCTAATAATTTATAATGCTGTATTTACAAATTTTGTATAAAATTAATTAGGCACTAGAAATTTACTTAATATTATACTTAAAAAGAGATACACATGGCCAGATAAGGAAATATATGGTCCCAATGTGGTTCTTAAACATGACCCTCTATAGTTAGCATAAAATATTTAGCAAAAAAAAACCAGAAAACCTATGTCATTGCTAATCATATCAAGCTAGTAAAATTTGGTTGGCCCCATAGTGTTCAACTCCCCTCCTTGTCATGGGTAATAAATATTTTCTAGCACTACAAATTTTTAAGTAACATTTATTTTTCATACCACTCAAATTAAACTGCTGAGTACACTTTCGTAGCGATGGGCACTATCAAACAGTTTTGACTACTAGATAATCAATAGTTTTCTATAAACCAAACCAAACCAAGCCTGAGGGACAAAGGAATGCAGATCACACCCCTTTTTAAAATGTATATATAAATAGACCCAAGCCTCTACACATATTAAAACTCTCAAAATTATCCTAAATACAGTCCAGATTCAAATTTTATTACCCACAACAACTGATTAGTTTTAGACATATAACCAACAATCTGTTGATACATATATATATATTTTATCTACATATTTAAGAATATTTACAAAATAATTTATAGTAAATAGATTTGGCATCACAAAAATTGAGATATTAATTATTCCATTTTATTAAAAGGCGGCACTGATTAATCAACAATTTTTTCAAGTATAAAGTCTTAATTTAATAACAAATTAAAACTTTAATAATTATATATAAAATCAAATTAAGTACAATTGATTTAAATGTTTTCTTTCAAAATATTTGATAAATTAATAGTATTGAGTAAATTAATTTTTATAACACTGATAGAATAAGTTGTTACTCAAATTTAATTTATTCCTAATATTATATAATTTTTATATGTTTCATAAATAATTAAAATAGTGTTCAGAAAAAACTAGAAATAATTTTTTAATTGACACTTTAAAATATCTCTACTTAAGTCTGCCATTTTTTCATTATATTAACCTTAAAGGATAAAAAAATAATAAGAAATGAATGTTTCAAAAATATACACAATACTCAAAAACTAGATTTTTTTGTTAAATCACTTTTTTATTAAAAATTAATTTTACAAATATGGTTCAGGAAATTCGAAAGTTACTTCTCTGCCTGTTAACTTTCTGTACACTGAAGCAAAAGTATCCACCTGTAGACAAGAAAAATAATAAATTCATACATTAAATAATTAAATTCATTACTTTATCTTTTGCTCATTATACTTTTATGACAAAAAAAAAACGTTTAGCGTTCTGACTCAGTTAATTTAAAATATTAAGTATTTATAAAATTTTAAGAAAAATAATTAATATACATTTTTATTTAATGAAGCATAACAATAATTTAAATACAGATTTCAAAAATTTCATAACATAGAATTTAACATAAAACTTACTACCTGTAAGTTTTTGTATAACAGAATACATAATAATTAAATAAATAAAAATTTTCAGTAACAAATCATCTACTATAGTAAAAAATTATAATAATTACTTTATGTTCAATGTTAGTTTGCTGCGTCTTGTCCAAATGAACTTTCATTACCTGTTTTCCATCTAATTTCACACGGATACGCTTACCAACAATTTCAGCAGGGAAAACTAAATCATCAAGTATAGCATCGTAAACCCATGTTAGTGTACGACTAAAAAAATAAACATATTATGTTTAAGAGTATTCTATAATTTTTTGAATAATTTAATAATTAATAGAATGTTTTTGACAAGCCCACTCAAATTGATATTTCACTACATCAATACTAAATTTTTACCAAAATAACTACCAATGTTGAAGTTATATCAATATTTATTGTCAATCCTTAATTTTTAGTAATGTAATAAAATCAAAAATGTGTTAACATTAGAGTAATTGTCAACTATAAGAATTTAAAAATTTTTTAAAAGCAAGTTTTATTCCTACAACAGTTCTACTATGTTTTGTAAGTAAGAGTTACGAGTAAAATATATATTTTAAATTTTTTTTACAATATAATAATATAACTTTTTATTAAAACAATTCTACTATATTTTAAAATTTAAGTTTTTCTTTTAGCTTATACAGATCTTTGAAGCTCATTGCTAAATCTTTCAAGGAAAAGTTTTTACAACGAAAAAAAAAGGTGCTTCATATTACTGGATTAATGTTATGCTCAGCAAATTGTTACATGTAAGCCTTAGCAAGAATTAATAGCCCCCTTGACAATGAACTAAATTTATGATCTGAAACCTCAATTTTAGCTTCGATGCGAAGCTGAGAAGGTATTGGTTTTACTAAGATGTGTTTTTTTTTTTTTTTTTTGTGTCTGTTACCACTTTTTCTCAGCTCTCACTGAACCAATTTCTTTCAATGATACGTCAAAAGATCACAAATCGTATCTAGTCGAAGACATTACCCTTAAAAATTGAAAAAAATTCCCTCGTTCCCCGTAAATGGGGGAAACCTCCAAAAAAATTACAAATTTAAAAATCGCTAATTTTCGAAATTTTTTCAATTTTTTTTACTTAAAAGTGCCATAACTTTTTCAAAAATGAACATATCAATATAATTCTTTTTTATATAGATGCATAATATCATTACCTTTCATTTGGTATATTTTTTTCATAAATTTAACCCTTAACCTGCCCACAAGGGGGGATTTAAAATGACAACTTTTTCACAAAAAATTAACTTTTTTAACTTAACTTTTGAAAATGTTCCGGAAGGTCTGACACTTTTATATATATCTTAAATTAAAGCTAATGTAATATACTTTATTATGCAAAAAAAAAATTTCGGACTTTATTTTATCTTCACGGTGAAAATGGCTACCGAATGCTATTTTTGTGTGAAAATTTTCGATTTTGTATTTTACATTTTTAACTTTATTATGCTATAACTTTTTGAAAAATGTATGGATCAGTACAATTTTTTCATGAGGAGTAGTATTTATATACATCTTTCATTTGACATACTGTTTTTTTAAATCCGACCATTTCCCTATATACGAGGGGGGTTCAAATCTAAAAAATGCATGTAGAAAGTAGAACTTTTTCAACTTAAATTTTGAAAGTGTTCCGGAAAGTCTGACACTTTTATATATATCTTAAATTAAAGCTAATGTAATTTACTTTATTATGCGAAAAAAAAATTTCGGACTTTATTTTATCTTCACGGTGAAAATGGCTACCAAATGCTATTATTGTGTGAAAATTCTCGATTTTATTTTTTACATTTTTAACTTTATAATGCTATGACATATTGAAAAGTGTATGGATCAACATTATTTTTTTATGAGAAATAATATTTTTGAATAATCCCTTTTTCATTCTACATACTTTATCTTAATTAGGATATTAATAATGAACTAGCAAATCATGAAGCTTTAGGAATAGTCCACCAATTTTTTAAAATTAAACAGTATCTAAAGATTTGCATCAAAGCGTTTTTTTTTTTATAGTGATTTTAATCACTGTCAGATATCATTATACTTGATCCATCTATACCACGTCACCACTGTGCCGCGACCCAGCTGTGCTGGGTTTTTTTTATTTCTACAACAATAAAAAGCTCTTTAAAAAAAGAAACAGAAAAAATATATAACCAATTTTTATAAATTTTGTAAATAATTAACATAACTCAATAAAATGGTAACTCATTGAAATTGCCACCACCAGGTTACAGCCCTGCTATGACCAACTTAAGACTTTACTTAATAAAAAATAGTTCTTTAGACAATATTTAAGTAATTTATTAAAAACAACCAGTATTATCTTTTGACAGTTATATTTATTTTTTGAGTTTCGAACTGGATTAACTATTTACAAGTTATGAATATACATTATTATAGAATAAAAATTACAATAATTACCTTCTTGGACGCTTTTGTTTGTTTTGAGTGCGGGTTTTTCTAGTTGGCTTAGGCAAAATTTTTCTATCACCAATAAATACAACATGCTTGCCACTGAATTTCTTTTCCAATTCTCTAACAAGACGAGCTTGAATTTTTTGGAATTGAGCCCTTTGAGGCATGGGAACATAAATGATAATGCTCTACAATAAAAAGAAAAATTTACTTTCAAAACATAATAGATTTAAGGCAGTTTTAAATAAAATAGCATTAAATTGACATCAATTGGTAAAAAATAGTAAACATTATTTTACTATTAAAGTTTAATATACTTATATCCAACAAAAAATTGACAAACAAACATATATATATATATATACACAAAGTATTTAGTAAATAAGCAAACAGGCCAATTGATACTAACAATAAAAACCAGTTTCCTTACTTACTGAACACTTAAATATATAAGGACCGCCTCGGCATTATATATCAGTGAATGAATAAAAAAATGTTCAATTACTTTTTTGCCCAACAGCTCAATTTCCTTAGCTTTTGTAATATACAATTCTCGAAGTTGAGCCTTCAAATCACTGTTGTTTTCCAACTCTAGTAGAGCTTGGGCAATTGAAAGTTCAAATTGATCAGGGCCAGTGTTACCCTTCTTAACAATTTTTGCTTGAACAGGTATTGGCATCTAAAAATGTAAAAGTATATTCAATAAATATTCATTTGTTAAATTCTAAAAATAAGTTTTTTCTTTCTGTGAATCCCAATAGGGAAACTAAAAAAATTCTACTTAAATAAAGATTTGACACATAATTATAATACATGACACTATTAAAGTTTAAATTAGAATAGATAGTTAAATCTTTCTCTATGTAATAATCTTATATTATAGACAATTTATTCCAAAGAGATCTTTTATCACTTACTATCACATAACCTAAGAGACAGGTCAATACACGTTACGCTTACAAACATTCTAATTGAAACACTAATATATTGTTAATCCAACTATTTATAAATAAAATTCTAAAATTATTAAATAGACGAACTATGATTGATGAAAATTCACTCAATAGAATAATTAATAATATTTTTCTTGATTCAATACGTAAGCACAAACGTGTTTTTTAAGGATATTAGAAACCGTGAATGATTTATGAAAAAATATCTAATTATTGTGAACTTTTAAATACTAAAAGACGAAACTTTTCAAATAAATGTATACAAACCTTGTTATTCAAATGTAGACACGGATAAATATTAAGAACAAACCAACTACAAATACAAAATAAAACGAGCTTTTCACGGCATCACATGCACGGTCAATGAAAAGGAGAGAAGCAAGGAAAATGTTGAGATAGCCTAACAACAGTGCATAGTTGTGCATGTTAGCCAACCTGTAAAACAAAGTTGTTTTACTAAATTTTCTTCTCAAACTTATAATAAATATGTCAATCAAAATTAAGTTAAATAAATTAAAAATATATATTTAAGTTTTAAAAAAATATTCTTTTTATTATACTACAAGATTTATGTTTAACTTAAAATTTTTTAAAATATAAAAATGTTTTAATATTAAGTTAAGTGGTACCAACTTTTAAAATTTATAAGGCGTAAGCATACTGGTGACCTTTTAATCATGTGGTAAGATTGCAAATTACGAACCGAGAAAATTTTCGTCCTCGATTAACAATTGTACAGTATAGGGTTAAGCCGAATTTAGCTTTCAGCTAATTGTTTCTGTCCATTATACTATTTTGGGCATAGATTTTAAGAACCCTTTGTGTAAATTGTCAAAAAATCTAAATTAGAATGAATTCCAGACTAATGGCTTTAAGTTCAAAACTTATATTTAGGCGTTCTATGAGAATGTTCACGACTTCTGCATCAAGATTTAACAAGGACGAAGGTTAGTAATTATTTTATTAAAATTAAAGATAATATGAAGTAATATATTTTAAAGAAATTATGCGTACTTAAATTTTGTTTTAAAACATTCATATTTTTAGTTGTCTCTGAGATTATGAATTTTTGAAACTACAATATAATCTGATCTTAATTCTATAATCAATAATTATATTATATTTTTTCATTAATTAAACATAAATATCAAATTGAAATATTTTTTATTGTAATAGCATCTAATTATTTAAAATTACTTGTTATTGAGACTCCAATCTTTCTGAATATTTGTATGACAGTAGTATTATAATTTTAATTATATCCTTTTATATTTTTTTTTGTATCATGTAACACTAATAGTATAATAAATCTGAAGTTTTTTTGTAATATTTTTTGTTTTAAGAACTTAATTTCACTATATCATAGACTACAATAATTTTTCATTCTTTGAAATTTTAATAGTTTTTAATTAACTAAAAACTAGAGTCAACAAATTTTTAGTTAACAAATCAATATTTTTAGGGGGTTAGGAAGTTTAAAGTATCGAAAAATATGAAAATTTCTAAATCTCTGAATTTTGAGAAGAGAGTAGTCAAAATTTCAAAGATCAGATTTATAGTTCAGTTTTAAATCAGAATATAATTACAAAATTTAAAGAATTATCTTGTTTAGTAAAATCAAAGTTTTACACAATTGTTGAATTTTAGTTAGGATTTTTTGATAGGAAGAATTGCTAGCCTATATAGAAGTCTTATCTGTTGCCTAAACTGTTGCTCATCAGTTCATTCGTGGACATCATCCCTAGTTATCCCTGGTTATGCCATTATTAAAATCTGTTAAATAAAAATTTAATTTAATCTTTTTTTATGATAAAATGTGTTATAGGTTTTCCTGATCCATTAGATTTAGCTACTGGAATGGAAAAGAAAGAAATGCTTGCTAGATTAAATGGAAATGATGTTAGTAGTATTTATAGTTTACACATTTTTATTATCAGTTAAGAGCAAGGAATTGATTTATAGTTAAAAAACAATTTTTGAGATATTGTATATTTTATTTTATTTAAACATAAAAAATGACATTTAAAAAAATATCTTTAAAACACAGATCTATTGTAAGATACTGATATTAAGTAATTATTGAAATAATAAAACTTTTTTACTTAAGTAAACATAAATTTCCATTTATAATTTAATTGCTCTTTTCTAATTTTTTGGTTTATAATAATTATTTTTGAAGTTTTTATATTATATTTATTCATCGTTTTTAGGACCCATATAACTTAAAAGCTATTAAGAAAGGAGTTGGTTCTAAAGATAAACCTACTGAAATCCCATCTGCTTTTGAAGCAAGGATTGTTGGTTGTGTATGTGAAGAAGATTCTTCTCATATCAAATGGATGTGGCTATATTCTGGTGAACCAAAACGTTGTATTTGTGGACATTGGTACAAGCTCATTCACAAAGAATCCTTTCTGTAAAATATTTACCAACGTTGTCGTCCTATTAAAAATACAACAACTTAGTCTTGCTCCAAATAATTTGTTAAGTTAATTTTGTCATAGAAAACAATGTTATTTGGCAGCAATAACAATAAAATTATTATGATTATTACTATTGTTGATTAAAGAAAAGCTTTTTACAATATAAATTACTATATAATCCTAGAATACTAGAATTGTATCTACCAAAAGTGTAAACATAATTATATATTGTTTACCACTGTTGAAAATAAAATTAAAAGTGTTCAATTAATATAATTTTTAATTTTATAGGTTTCCTATAATAGATGAATATAAACTATGAAATTGATTTTTAATTATTTTATTTATTATTAATTTTTTTAGCACACTAAAAATAATGTTTCTCACAGTTATGAAAAATTTTAATTATACTATTTTGTGTTCTGCTTAACAAATAAAAAAAACACGTATCAACGTTTTTCTAAGATATAGTTGTCATAAAAAAAATTTGCATGCTAACTTATTTTAAGACTAAAAATGTTTCATTTAACACTATAATTTAAGAAATATATGTAAGTTTTCATTTGAAACTAATTTTTTGAGAGAAAAACTATTTAAAACGTTTAAATAGTTATTAATCTAATTATTGATGAACAACTTTTTCTAGTCTTAAGAGATAAAAAATTTATCTGCATTGTTTAGTTTAATCTTCATTGATTCATTGATCTTTATTTTACATCTTTCCTCCTTTATTTTTTATAAAACTGTAATGGGATTTTTAATAAAAATGAGTAGCATGTATTATATCTTGTATAATAATAAATGTATATTTATTATAATGTTTATTAAATTAAATCGTAGTAGAATACTTAAAAATAATATAAAACAAATGTAGTCTAATATATTTAAGTTGATAAATGGACATCTGTTTAAAGTGGGCAGTTTGGTGTATAACAATTTTATTAGAAGCTAAACCTTATATATTAAAGCATCATTAAAGACTGAGCATATAAGGCATGTCTAAATATATAACATATTTGTTTAAAATAGATTAAAACATATTTCAATTAATTGTAATCCTTGAAGTCATAATACAATCTTGGAAATCTCAGCCTCCCCAAAAAGTGTAAAAAATTATAGTTTCTTTTAAGAAAATAACTTTAAGGTCGAAAAAATGATGTCTTCTAAAAAATTAATGCTAGTTCCATCTAAATTTGAAATGGATGCATGTTGACAATCGCACAGACTCGTCTCAAGACTTAATTTATAGAGACCGGTAGTTGGAGGACAAATATAATGCTCAGCTCGATTTTTTTTGTCTTTTTGTTAAACACATTACTGTTTTCCTTGCCGTGAGAAGTAAGACCACATTTTTCATTAGACGTGTCTAGGACTTATGACAAATAAGGACCAAAAAAAAACTTGCTCTCGATATACCTAAAATATTGAATCTAGTTGTAGTATACATTAATTATAAAAATTAATATTACGATTGTTATGTCGATAATTATCAGACTACATATTTTTTTGAAGTTGTGCCTATGACCATAACAAATAATTTTTGCTTCTCCTTTTGATGCATTCATAGGGGATCTATGTATGCAAACTAAAAATATAATATAAGATGGGTAATTTTAATTTTACCGCCTGAAGTAAATGCTTTGTTTGTACCCATGGATAATAAATAATATCTGTGATTTGCACTTAAGTTAGCATGGTCTTAATTATAAAAAACATTTTAAATTAATACATATCGATATATTGAGCAAACTGAGTGATTCCTTTAATGTTCGCTACTCGATTTCTCTCAAAATAATAATGTTAAGAATTTAAAAATTTTTTAATATCATACATTTTTTTATTTATCAGTTGTGTTACTACTGTTTTAATGCATTCTTTATGCGTATATATGATGAATTAAGTAGTCGCCCTAATTTAAAAATATATATTTAACTAATTTATAAATTAGGAAATGAAGATTGCAAATGATATCGAGTACGAGTTTGATAAAGGAAAACACGAGGTAGGTGAAATAAGGAGATCAGTGACAATAGGCGAGGACGTGATTGGAGAAGTGGAAAGTTTTAAGTATTTAGAATCAGTTGTGCAAAAGAGCGGTGGTATTGATGAGGACGTAAGACACAGGATTAAGTGCAGGAGGTTGAAGTGGAGAGAAGCGTCTGGTGTCTTATGCGATAAAAGAATTCCAATGAGGTTGAAAGGTAAATTCTACAAGACTGTAGTGAGACCAGCTATAATGTATGGTTCAGAGTGTTGGGCGGTTGATAAGAAAGTAGAGCAGAGATGAGTATGCTTAGATGGATGAGTGGAGTGATTAGAGAAGATAGGATAAGAAATGAGCATATAAGAGGGAGTGTAGGTGTAGCGTCAATCGTGGATAAGATGAGAGAAAATAGACTTAGATGGTTTGGTCATGTTATGAGAAGAGAAGAATCGGAAGTTGTAAGAATAGTTGTAGAAATTAATGTTGAAGGAAGAAGAGGTAGAGGAAGACCAAAAAAGAGATGGAGAGATGTTATTGAATGCGATATGAGGACAGCTGATGTGTACGTAGATGATGTGAATGATCAAATCAAGTGGAAATTTAGGGATAAGGGTGGCCGTCCCCAAGTAGTTGGGATTAAGGCGAGGAAAAAGAAGAATATAAATTAGGAAATGAACTAATTAAGAAAATGACTGGTCAATAATAACTTTTGAACCAGAACTTCGAAAGTTATTACCATTTTAGCTAGCGAAAATTGCCGTGGTAACGTTGTCTCACCTCCCCCCATACAGCTCTAATTGAGTTCCATCTGACTTTTTCTTGTTTCCCCGAATGAAAAAGGAGCTCAAAGGACATCGGTTCGATTCCATCGAGGCGGTTCAAGCGACGACGACAAAGGCTCTCAACAGTATTTAAGTAACCGACTTTCAGCAGTCTTTTGACGAGTGGCAGACGCAACGACCTAAATGTATCGATGTAAGAGCAATGTATTTTGAAGATTACTAATTAATTGTGATTAACTGTAATGATACCCGTAATAAATTTTGATTTTTGGAACTAGTCCCAAGTACTTATTGAACGAACTTTGTAAATAGTTCAATAGTTTAACTTAAGATAGATTCAAGTTTGAACAGTTTTCTAAATCAATTACAATATATGCTTATATAACAAACTATTTTTCTTCTTATTTAATATCTAATAAGTCTAACTCACTTCTTCTCCTCTCTACACCGTGGAACTTGATTTGCAGCCAAGATATTTTAGGTAAGAGTAGTTTAGACACACCAACTACACTAATCAAGTAATGTACTAGAAACAAAGTACTTTTATTTATGATGTCTTTACAGATGATGCCGTTATCATTCTTTTTTATTAATACCATCCCCATCAACTTTATGTTTAGTTATTATAATATTACAGAAAAATATTCTAGAGAATTTGGACCCCCTAGAAAGGTATACTTAAACAATCTTCAAATTTATGTGTCACACATGGTTTTTTTTATCAAAATATTTGGAATTCTGGTTACTGATCAATATTGTCCATATAAATTTAGTACTTATTAATATTTTCTTAGATTATACAGTTCTTCAGGAAAAATTGTCCAAGGTGGTGTTTTCCGGTATTATATTTTCCGTATTCCATCAATCCGTATTTCATCATTCATGCATTATATCAATCCCGAAAAGTACGGTTCCTGATATTTTACACTCCTATTAAATACCATTCCAACCAATATTCCGGTATTCATAAATATTTTATCATAAAATACAGATCCTATTGAGTAGTTGTCCGATTCGTACGCGCCCTCGTTAAAACTACACCTATGAATAAATAAAGAAGTATACAATTTTATAGAATAAAAATAAGTTGGTAGTACTACAGACAATTATCTGTAGGAGTTATCATTTATTATGAGATTATTAGAACAACATGATGCCGACATCGAAATCAGATTAAATTATAAACATCACATAATTCAAGTTATGTCAACATTTCATTTATTAAAGAATTTAGTTTAGTCGTATAAATTTAATCTCATTAATCAATTACTTTATTATTTATCAGTTAAAAGTCCGTTTAATGAAATTAAGTTTGTTAAAAAGTTGAATAACTATTGTAGAAGGTAATTTAGTATAATTTATTTATTTTAACTTATTAATCTAATATTATTTCAATAGAAAAATTATTATAATTAGGTTAAAAATGACTTCTCGGCCACGTAAACAAAGTTTATTTGCCCAAAAAATGCAAAAACAAAGAGAAAAACAAAATATGGATGTTATAAATAAATGTGAATTAGATGAAAATACATTTGGTTCTACTAGTAAAATATTAACTGGTCCCGAAGCAAATAATATACACAAAGAAAATGTAAAAAAACTCACTAGTATGAGTGTTGAAGAAATACTCAAAGAAAAAGAAGAACTATTGAATAAGTTAGATAGTAAAATTATTGAGTTTTTAAAAATAAAACATAGTAATGATATAAAATTAGGAACATATAATATAAAACAAAAAGATAGTAATAGAGTTCAGTTTGCAAAAAATTTTCAAAAAGATGATAACAAAATATTACCACACATAAATGATTTAGTAAATAATGGTTTAAATATGGATATAATTGAAGAAGAGAAACTTAATTGGATTGGGGATGTTGAGACAGTTAACCAAATCCAAGATATTTATACAGCACGCTTTGGTCTTGATGGAAAATTATTACCATACATTATTGAAAATAAAACTACTGTTGATGGTTTACATCATCATGGCGAAGAACAATATCGCCCAGGTTACACAATTGATGAGCTGTATTCTTTCCTTCGAAAAAATCATGTACCACAAAGAGTCCTTGCTCTAGATGTTTTAGCAAAACTAATTTTTAATGCCTCCTTGTATGATGAAGTCTTAAATGAACCACTTATTTGTTCTATATTAGACTCTGGTATATTTATTCTTTTAAGAATGTCTTTAGATGATACGAATATTGCAGTTTTAACCAATACATTAAAAGCTATGGGAAATTTATTCTCTAGAAGTATAGATGAAAAAATTTTATTTGGTTTATCTGGATGTAATTGTGATGTAAAATTACCCGTTTACCTTGTGTCAGATGCAGAAATTGATCAAACAGAGTTAGATAAATCCTCAGATTATGATTTAGTTATATTAGATTTAGTTTTAGGAGCATTAAGAACTGATTTAATTCTTAGATTACAATATGTAGTTTTTAATACTAATATTAACCTTGGTAGTCTTATAGATGTAAGTAATATTTTAATTGGAATTGCATTTAGAGGAGAAAAGTATGCTCTTATGATTTTAGACACAGATTTATTTAAACATCTATGTAAATTAGTTTTTACTAATTTACAAAGTAATGATTTGTCTAAAAAAGTTATGACTCTTACTCGTGTGATATGTTGTCAGTCTGCTCAATGCAGTTTAAAAGTATTTGAAATGAAAATACTCGATTCAGTGTTTAAATATATTAGTTCACCAGAAAAAACACCTATGCTTTTGGAATGTCTTTATTTGTGGCAAACATTCTTTGAGTATAAATTAGCTGGTCAAACTATTACTGAAGTAGCTAATTTAGTGCTGAAATTTGTGGATCGCTCAATTGGCTTAAGTGCAGATTTAACAAAAGTCGATTTAAACTTAATGTCAGCTAGTTTAAGCTTAATAGATTCAGCTTTAAGAAATTTTGGTGAAATTTATATTGACCCTGTATACCATTTGACTGAAATTATTTTAGCAAAACTTCTAGGAAGCACAGATTTCCCAGATTTTGAGACTGCAAAATTGATAGGGAATTGCTTGTCAGTTCTAAGCTCTCAAAATCTGAAATTTGATAATATCACTCAAAAATTAATTAAATATCTAAATACAAATTTTGAAGAAATTTGCAAACTGCTCTGTACCAAATCCTGGTTAAAAAGTAATTATACAAATAATAGTCCAAAAAATTATCCAAATCTAGGCTATATAGATGTTTCCTTAAATGGTAGTGATCCTTTATTTATGTTAACTGGTTTAATGAAATTTTTAAGCAAAAGTTCTCATCCATTTAATATACCTATTCAATTTTGGACTTATTTAAATAACCTTATGAAATCATCTATAGAAGTATTACATTGGTACTCCAAATACGAAGTGCAATTTTTAATAAATATGCTAAAAACATTAGTTTGCAATAATACAGAATTAGAAATTATTCACACGATTACCATTACTTTAATATCAATTATTCCTAAACACTTATCAGAAGAATTACACAGCCTTCTTGAATTATACTTTAATGATAAATATATCAAACGTATCAATCATGATAGCAATTTTGATGTTTTAAAATCATTTTATCAATTATTTATACAAAGTTCTAAAAGTAAGCCTGGCAATATTTTAATTACTGAATTAAATTCTGTACTACCTAAGGATTGGTTGTTTCTACCAATTATTAAGGTCCATGAAACAGAGTTTTTTAAGAGTTCAAAAGAAGGTGAATGTCTTATTAAAGAAGCATTAGCTAATATACTATTTATGGAGAAACACTATTCAGATATCTGTGAACAAACTCCAATATCAGCACGTTATTGTCGTGTAGCTTGTACATTTATGTGTGGACGTCGTGGAACATTATTTCATGAAGTTAAGTCAGTGTTAAACCAAATATGGCATATTTATGCTCAAAAAAACAATAGCTTAAGTTTTAAAGATCCTATACCAGGAATTGAATCATTTTATGAATTTTACAAAACTCTTTGTGAACATTATGTTGGTGTTTCTTATTCTGATACAGTATTTGGTGCATATATAATGCTTCCTCTACAAATGAAGCATAATGTTGAGTTAAGAAAATTGGTATGGTCAGAAATAGAATTGCCTGAGACCATTAATATAGATCAAGAACACCTTGATAGAGTACCATTAAATAATTATATACATCCAGTAGAGACAAATGAAGAATTATTACAAATGTACACCAAAGCTAGAGGTCTAAGAAGAAAGATGATTATGTATCAAATAGCTATGTCACATTTAAAACAAATTATGATTTAATTATTTATTTTTAATTTACTTTTTTTTTTTTCATATTTTTATGTAAGATTATGGGTGACCGCTACAATATTCACAGTCAATTGGAGCATTTACAATCAAAATACATAGGAACAGGTCATGCAGATACTACCAAATTTGAGTGGCAAGTTAACCAACATCGTGACTCATGTGCATCATACCTAGGTCATTATGACCTTTTGAACTGGTTTGCTATAGCTGAAAATGAAGCTAAAGCAAGAGTAAGATTCAATCTTATGGAAAAAATGTTGCAACCTTGTGGACCTCCACCTGAGAAACCTGATGAATAAATCAACAATACTATACTAAGATTTTGTACATTTATAATATCAATACTAGAATAAGAATATGCAATTAAAAAAAAAATTTAGTCATTAATTCATACTTTAAAGAATAAATTTTTCATTATATTCTGCATGCTTTTTTTAGTTTTTTTTTTAAATATAACTTATGTCTAAGATTTTTCTTTACATTCTATAAATTCTTCATTAAAGTGTTCATAAACATTATTTCTTACATTATAAAGTACCATAGAATATAGTTTACAATTTTGGTCTATTAATATTTGCACATACTCTGGAAACATATTAACACCCATAGAACCATTTTGAGAAAATTCTGTGATTTGCTGAAGATTTTTCATGTATGATAACATGATGATTCCATGATTTTGTTCACCTATCACTCTTGATAAACATAATGATTCTTCATTATATGTTGGGTCAACTAGAATCTTATTTTCATAAATACCCTAGAAAGTATAAAATTTTACTACTTCTTAACAAATAATAAAAAAAATATATAGTTATAAAAATATTAAATCAAAAACCAACCAACGTAGAAGCAGTAATTACATCATACATAGGTATACAACCATCTACCAAAGCAAACCCAGCAGCATTAATTGCAGTTGCTAAAACAGATCCATCATTTTCAAGAACTAAGACATTGATTTGAATTTCAAAATTTGCAAATTCTCCCTGAAATTTTAAAGTTACTCTATATAAAATTATTAAAATTTCATATTGCAAATATTTCTCAAAAATATTACATAATATCAAATTTTGGTAAGAATAATGATATAACACAAAAAAAAACGGTAGCACAGTGGGGTCGAGGCACAGTGTAGACAAGGCATAGATGGGACATGTATAANCGGTAGCACAGTGGGGTCGAGGCACAGTGTAGACAAGGCATAGATGGGACAAGTATAGATGATATTTGACAGTGATTAAAATCACTATCATAAGAAACGCTTCGATGCAAATCTGTAGATAGTGTTTCATTTAAAGAAATTGATGGATTATTCCAAAAGCAACATCAACTCTTATTTCTTTGATTATATCCTAATTAGTAGTTCTTTGATTTTAAAATATAAAATATGAATAAATACTAATTATAATTATTAAATTTAGTATGAAAATAAAAAAGTAAAAAAAATTTGATAAGTTCAATTTCTTATGTCTTATGACCTTTATTCTATGTCAATTAAATTATATAATATTTATGAAAGTCAATATATTCTCCTAATAAGATATTTTAAAATAAAATAAAATACAAAACCTAGAATTTTAACACAAAGATAGCATATTTTTGTATATAGTATCCATTTGAGCATAGAAGATAGGTCATCGGGACAAATTTTTTTTTTTATTTTGTAGTACATAAAATAAGCTTTAATTTGATAATGAGCAGGTTAAGTGTTAGATTTTCAAAAAAATGATATCAAATGAAAGGGAAATATCTAAGGTTTCAATATAAAAAAATATTATTTTGATTTGTTAATATTTGAAGAAGTTATTGAAGTTATAAGAAAAAAAAAGTGAGAAAAATGACAAAATTTACCGATTTTTAAATTTGTAATTTTTTTGGATATTTCCCCCATTTGCGGGGAATGAGGGAATATTTTTCAATTTTTAAGGGTAATGTGAAGACTTTTCTAGTTGAAGAACTAGATACGATTTATGATCATTTGACATATTTTTGAAAGAAATCGGTCCAGTGAGAGCTGAGAAAAAGTGGCAACAGACATAAAAAAAAAAAAAAACACATCATAGTAAAATTAATACCTTCTCAGCTTCGCATCGAAGCTAAAAAAAAATTGTCTAGTACATTTAGAAATTATTATTGTTCAAAAAATGTTTATATCCTCCGATATAACACGAGTATTTAATTAAAAAAAAAAATTAAAATAAATAATATTTATAATTATTTGTTTAGTGTTAAAATTAAAACATATGCAATTCTTTATAAAAATTTGTTTACAAATAAACAAAATACCCCATTCATTCATAAAAAAATGTATATTTTTAAAAGGTTAAAAAAGAAACAAAACTTATTTTGAAAACTAAGATAATTTAAATTATTAATTAGATTAAAAGTTAATAGATTTATCAGATCTTCGTGACTCAAACTGAACACACAAAATATCTCAGATCTAAATGAAAATGATTAAGACTTTTTATATCTTTTTGTGGAACATTTTTTAAAAATAATTATTTACTTTTTAGACTATATTTAAATTATATTATTTATGTTTCATTAAGAAAATAATTCTATTTTTTTTCAAAATTCCAATATACTCATCAAGTTAAAAACATTTTAATAGATTGCATAAGTATAGAACGTAGGTAAAGTATAAGTAGACCAGTATAAGTTGTACTCAACCTCACTTTATATCCACTACATGTATTAAAATGATTTACATGTCCTAAAATTGATTTTGGCCATTAAATTTTTTTGTAAGAAAAGGGATAAAAACCGTTATTTTTTTAGTGATAAACAATAAAAAAATATGCTTTAAACATAATTTTGGCAATAATTATTTAAAAAAAATAACTCAACAAATTAATAATTGTATTATAAGTTATAAGTGTTGTCAGTTAAGTCTAAGAGACCTGTAAATAAATATAAATAGCTGAAGTAACTTCACAATGTTTGCATGTTAATAAAAGTTTAATAATTGAAACAAAATATATCTGGTCAATCATTTAATGACGAGTTGTAATATTTGGGTAAGGTAATATTTTTTTAAGTGAACCTTATAGTGCCAATATAAATAATATTTCATAAACTAGATATTAAATATTAATTTTAGTTAATTAAATTAAATTATTGTAAGAAATATTTTGATACTCTTCAATTAATTTTTTTTCATTTTTTAAAGGAATTGCTTGAAAAATGGTCATGTAGAATAAAAAGGCTAATCCAAATAATTAACTAATAAACAATTTTAATTTAGTTGAGAAAAGTCACACTAATTTATTTTTAACTGTTTATCTTAAACCAGCTCAACCTCATTTCTTATTCAATAATATTTTATATTACACATACTATTTAGTAAACAATTCTAAAAATCACATATTTAAGAAAAAAAAAATTTTTTGCCTCAACTCACTCTACAAATTGCAGGTTCAAGAGCTCTCCGTAACTCATTACATAATTGACGTTCTTCAGAATCTCTTGTATAACCACGTCGTTGAAGACAAGAAAAAGTAGTAAACTTAAATTCACATTGTAATTCGCCTGTTTTAGCATACTCCACTTTGTTTGGAACTTCTTTAGGATCAAAAACAGAGCATACTACTTTAGTATGACCACATTCAACATAAGCAGATCCTTTAGCTTGAGTGATAATGCCTGTTTTCACACCTGTGAAATGATTTTTAAATTTAACATAAGTAATCTTATAAGTTGTTAATATAATCAATAATATTTACATAATTTTCTATGAGCTAAGAAATCTCGGCCATCATGGCGAATATTTTTCTTTAATGATGAAACAATATCATTTAGATGTTTGGCTCTTTTGGGGATTAAAAACTGTTGGTAAGGAATAGTACCATCGGGTCCTTGAACTCTGTACACATTAGTTGGCATAATAAATATAAAAATTACAAATAATACGTGAAACGGTTAAGCTTAAAAATATCTCTTTAACACAGATTTTTAAATTTGATAACCACATGAGTTTTATTATCTTAGAACATCTATCAAAAACCGAAAGTAACTTTATCAGTCTTTATCATGACTGTTATCTGCGCGGCACTTAAAAAGGCTGAATAAATGTTATTTTCTACAGTAAAGACAAAACCACTTGCTTCAGTAGCGTATTTAGGGGATATAACAATGATTGATAATAACTTCTGGACTAGTATTTCAAAAGTTATTAACAATTTAATATAATGATTTGTGGTGAGAAATGGTTACTGCTACTTTTATCACTAGTCATTCCCCGTACCTTCGTCCCCCTTATATATAAAAATATACTAGTACAATAGTTGTTATCGACCAGTAATTTTCTTAATTATATTATTTTCTATTTTATAAGCTAGTTAAAAATGTATGTTGCCACTAAACAAATTGAGTTTACGCCCCTTTAAGTTATAAGAGAAGATTCTAAAAACTAATTATTAGCTGATAAATCAAGAATTATATGTAACTAAAATATATCAAATATTATATTCCAATATATTTATTTTGCGAGTAATCGAGTGTCTTATGTTAAATCGATCTCTCTGTACCGCAAGTATATCAAATATCATTTTCGTATTCGATGTTTAAAATACCTTAAAGTTCTTAAATCAAGAGTAGTATGATAAATAACAAATATAATTATTTAAATATATAAAACATTTGGAAAAATTAAATTTCACTAGTTTATTTATTTAATCTATCTAATTTAACTATTTTAATCTTTCCAAAAAATTACAATTTTACTGTGGTCGATAAAATTGAATTTATGATTTTTTTTTTTTTTTATAATAGACCGTTTTTAAAAATAAAAACATAATACAGTTACTGTTGTTTAAACTACAATACGCATTTTGGTTTTTGTAGATTTTCAAGATTATTAAAAAAAAAAATTTTAAATACACATTTTTATACGAGAGATGACTTTACTTTTATAATATATAAAGAACTAAGAGTCTTACAAAAATATTTATATAATAAAAAATTCCCAGAAACACATTATTCTATTATTGATAAATTTAATATCTTTACAATGTTATAATGTAAATTGTATTATAACTATCCATACCATAAAAACATTTTGTTCGCACATTTATCCTTAAATATATTAATTTAATTATGACTCGTCCAAATTCAAAGTTGTTTAGTCCAGTTAAGGGTTTATTTTAATGAATTTATTTCCCATGAAAAACAAATATATCTGCGTTACTGTGTTACTTGCAACAATTTAAACAAGCAGGTATCTTAACAAAATGATTTTAATAAAATTTATAAACTCATAAATAACAATTAATATTATTATAAATAATTATTATTAGTAATACGAATGTAATTTCTAATTAGTAATTCTTATTAAGTATTTTTAAATTAAATTAGGGATGTTCAATGTTCACAAGCATATCGAAAATATTGATAATGATAATATTGGCCAAAATGATGTATTACTATGACAATATCAAGACAAAATAGAGATATTTTGATAAATAATTTGACTTGAATTAATTTTCAATTTTTTAAAATATTATTATAGAAAATTTTAAATTAAAAAATAAATAAATAATTATTTTTATAATATATAAAAATTAAATAATAATAATTGTATAAAAATAATTGGTTAGAATAGAGTTCAACTAGTCGGCAGCTATAATGTGATAAGTGTATAGCATAAGAAACATAACTTTCAAGCGCTCCTGATAAATTTATTAAATATGCTTATCGATAAGTCAATTTAGTAGGATCAGTTTTATTATACGAAATAACTATACATTCATTAAAATTTCGTGAGAAATAGGTAATTTTTATATTATAAACATTACCAGGAACGTATGCAGGATTTAGGTAGGGTTTTTATTAATTAAGGTTGATAATATATAATATCCGTGGGGCAATTCAGCCCCTCTATATAGCTGAACTAGTTTAGGGGGGTTAAAACGCTAGAACTATACCCCTAAGTACGCCACTGATTATTTCTAAATATCATGATAAGATAATTTTATCGTTTTTTTAAATATTAAAATTTATAAATAATTGAAATTAAATATTTTGATACTGTGATATATTTTACACACCTCGTCTTTAAATCTAAAAAGAATTTAATAAGAGAATTGAAAAAGATACACATTTTTTTCTTTCAAAATATACAGTCACTGTTAATTTGTAATACATTCATTTATAACGCTTAACAGTCGGTTGTACATAAATTTCATGATAGTTCTGAGATTATTCAAGAGACACAAAAAACAGATGTTTTTGCTATAAGAAATACATGTTAAGTATAATTTCTAATAATATTCTTCCATATAAGATATTATATTATTAATTTAATAAAAAAAATTCTTTATTATTTTTATTAAACTGTATCAAAAAGTTGATTTTTGGAGAAAGTCAGATGGGTAGTATTGCCGCGTGTTGTAATATCATTATCTACAACGATTTTTAAACTAAATTAACTTGTTGAACATAACATAATTTTTTAAAATATTCTTATGCATAAGTAAACTTCACCCTCATTTACGAAAATCAATGAGGGCTTATGAAGCTGAGTCTCCCAAATATTAAATTAGAACCAGGACCATTAATATTCAAGTTATTAACACAATTAGAAAATTTAATTCATTGTTTCTGTTGACAACTTTATGACATATGAATAAAAATAAAATAACTGGTTTATCCTACATTTACCAAACAAAACAAATTTAAGAAGTAATAATTCATTATTAAAATATCAAATTCCTGTTACAACAGTTTGATAACAACATTCATCTACCCTCTTGTATCCTAACCTTATCTTAATTTATCAGCAATGCTTTATAATTTTAAATTGACGTTATTCATTTGTCTCTAGATTTCAAAAGAACGACGTCATTCCAAGAGTCAATCGAAATGTGTGTTATATAATTTTAAGATATTAATTATAGTGTTTTATTATTATTTAACCTATTAAAATATTTTCAAATTCAAAACCCAAAGTTAATCTACAAAATTTTACATTTATTTTAAATTAAATAAGATAGACAAGTAAGTATTAATTGCCCTAATATTAATATTTTTTTATTATTAGTGATAAACGGAGAATACCTAAATTTAGTGTACTTATGTTATTTAAATAACATGTTTAAGAAAAACTTAATTATCAGAATTAAATACAAAAACCTTTAATGTTCAGTGTCTTATAAAAAACAAAGTTGGTTTTTGTCAACGATAAAATACATTTGGTTATACATACACATAATTACTAAAATAAATAATCATAATCTATAGTCTAATAAGTTCAAATTTTGTATTATTAATAGTATTCATTTTCAGATAATTTTAAATTTTTTTGAAATTTAAAGTATTAAAATCTTCATCAGAAGGTTACAACTACGTATGTAGTTTATGCAATAGCAAAATTATTGATTGTAGTCTCACTAGTCCACTGCTTGCATTCCTCTTAGTGTTTGCAGTAAATCTACAAAAATGAATTCAAAAATGTGTATTATGTAATTTAAATATAGAAATTAATATTATTCATATATTAAAATATAATGTCGTGTGACTTAAAAAGTTAATACTTATCAATATTACTTAAAGTAATACATTATTTTCATGATGTCTAATAAAACATACTACCTTTAAAACTAACAGAATTATTTTTGGTTATAAAAATGAATTTAATATTGTGATATTAGTTTTCAAATAGATGGACATTAAATCAAGCTTTTAATTTATAACACTATGTAAAACTATACTTAGTTTGAACTTTGATATAAGATTTATGGAATCAATGTAACACTAAAAATGTATAATTTTTTAAGCGTATTGTAATAATTTTGTTATTCAATGTTCAAATTTTCCTATTAAGAAATGTATATGGACCGCAAACATGTGTTTACCTAACTAAATGTTACATTCTATTCTAGAAAAAAAAAAAGGGTAGGTAAAATCTAGTTGATCTATACCTGCGTCTTGGTCACTTATCAGTACCCGCTAATACCTAGGAGGTACGTATAAACTAGCTGACAATAGTGAATAAGATTTTCTTGTAGGTTATTTTCATTGTTAATATATTTTTCTTTGTGTTAAGATTTTGAACCAAAAAAATAATGACAGAGTTTAAGAATACATTCGATAGATCATATTTTAAAGATTTCCTTCAACCTTTACCTAAAAATATGAATGTTTGATTAGAAAGCAGTATCACTATACCTGTAATAAAATCTTAAATTCGTCAGTGGGTATGAATGCCAAATTGAAACATTTTATACGTACTCAAACATTTTCAGTATTAAGTATTTATGCACTATATTAAACATACTGTTTATAAAAAATTTTTTTTTAATTTTGTTTCATATTTTTAAGATTTTTTGCTGAATGATAGATAATTAAGAATACTACCATTATAGCTATCGTTATTGTTAAAAATTTTAATAGTTTTAATATAATATTAAGTATCAATATTGTTATGTTAATTGTTCACAATTTTAAAATAAAAACATTTCTCAATGCAATTACCATGAGCGCAAATAGTATACAATTTTCGTGGCCATGGCAGTTGTCCTTTAAAGTGGGAAAAACAGAATTTCATTACTTTATTATAACCAAAAATATTGTTCCAATTTCAACACATTGACGGATTTTCAACTTTAAATAATAAAAATAATTAGATTAAATTCCTAGAAATATAAGAAATATTTGTATCGTTTTTATTATAGTAACAAGTTCGCGATAAGTTGACCAGGAACACTCAGTAATGTAATTTGAAATTTGTGATAAAAACGGATTATTCAATTCTATTTTAATTTATTACATTACTATTAGTAATCAATCCAAATATAATAATTTACTACATTTGGGCAATTTCGGCTTATCTTTAAATAAAACATTTTTTAAATTATTGGATTAAAGATCAGTGATTTTTTAATCCAAATTCTAGTTATCATTAAATCTTTTATCGAAATACATAGAAAAAAAAGAATTTTTCAATTTTTAAATT